CAGCGCAGCTGGAAAGCAAAGCCTATCGTCCATCTATCGCATCGGCGTAATCGTTGCTCAATTATTTAATTTCTCGGTACGATGCACAGGGTCGCCGTGTCGAATGGAAAATCCGCGGACGGGATTATCGACGGACAAACGGTATCGATCTACCAGCCGACAAAGTCATGCGCGCTAACAGGCTGGGTAAGCGTGTTTCACCATAGCGTAAACTCCGCCGACGTTATTTCAAGGCGGCACGTATACGTAGACGATGGCGGCGAGCAATGGGTGGGTTGGATGGGTGGGCGGTTGGATAGTAGGTAGTAGGTTGGCGACTATCAATCGGCCTTTTCGCGGCTGCTACTCACCTCGTAAATTTTCACCCTTTGACACGCGCCTAATACGAGCCCCTTTGGGGGCTACGAGCTCGAGCACGACTGTCGCTGTGTTACGGCGATGCTGTCGGCCGACGTGGCTGCCTAACCCCTCGGGAGCTGCGGGACGTTAATGAAATAACACGGGAATTAGTCTCGGACATTACCGGCAAACTATGTCCATTACCGTGAGCTCGTGCGCGTACACCGCGCCGTGGAACTTTCTGCTCGATATTCCGCAGCGTTTCCGGCCACCGTTCCTCCCGATCGTGGCCGAGCAGTACGACAGGATCGCTAATTAGCGGGGCTCGATCGGGACTCGGTCGGTTCGCGCCCCTCGAAATTAAAGGAAATTGAGCGTAATCGCAGTTATCGGGGCTCCACCGGCGCGACACCAGAATTCCGAATATCTCGGTGTCGAGCGTCCATGTCCGAGCGTGGAGCCGGATCGGCGGTGGTTAACGCGGAGCGCGTTGCCACGGTTAAGACGAGAGGTTGGTACGCGTCAGTGGGTCAAAGTAATTGAAAATACTGGCCGGCTTTCGAGGTTCGAGTCGATTACGCGGGCTCGGCTCTATGCCGCATCACGTCCCTTCCCTCCACGTGCGGCTAACTAATTTCACACTCCGGCTGAAAAGTAGGAGGCGGGTACAGCGCTCGTCAACGAGCCTCTTTTGTCCCCGCGGAGGTCCCTTCAAGAATTCTAGCGTAAATCTCGCTACGTCACTCGGTTCTTTGTACTTCTTTGCTTTCTCTGCCTTTGCTTCGACCACGGAAAGCGTACCGTCGTCGTCGGTGTACCTAGGTCTCCGCGCCTCGTCGGGATAGTCGAATTCGCGGCAAGGGGAACCGGTGATCGTCGTCTCGTTGGAAACGCGACAAAGTAGAAACGTTCGTGGATGGACCGGCCGACCTGCTGTAAATCGGACGTCGAGTAGAGTAAATCGGCGCGTAAAGGGACACTGGCGTTGCGGCGCAACGCTTCGGGCGTCGCGTCCGCGCGCTTAGGTCTGGATGCGTGCGTAAACGCGCGCGCGAGCGAGTACGCGGAGGAGAGTTGGGTCGTGTACGTGGCGTGCGTGTATACCGGTGGTAGCGTGTACCGGGCTTTCAAGCGAACGACCGTAAGTCGCTCAAATTGGTATGGATTTCCAGTCCAACACCTCGATTGTCCCCTGTGAAGAGTGCTTCGCGAGCATACATGAATTCACGCCTCAAACACACGCGCGCCGTAGTCCTCCGCTTTCCCTCTCTCCGTCTCTCTCTTCCTCCACCGGTGCCCGTTCCTCTCCCCGACTTCTTGCTCTTCTCTTTCTCACCCTTACCGCCGTCACCCCGTGCTTTCTCCTCTCTCTCTCTCTCTCTCTCTCTCTCTCTCTCTCTCTCCTTCTCTCTCTCCCTCTTTCGCCCGTTGCACGGACTCGCGCTAGCTTTCTCGCGCTGGAGAGGAGTCGCGAGCAAATCTTGCCGCTGCGCCGCTATGAATGGGCACGGGAACACGCGGGTTCACACGCGTGTGCACGCGTGTACGTGCATAGCGCGGCAGCCACGAGGAGTCTTGATTGCGTGCCGGTGAATGCGTTTCCACCCGTTCTCTCTAAGTAGCAGCTCATTCCGCGATGCTTGCTCTCGCGACTTGGAAAACGAAGGTAGCTTCTCGTGGTGAAGCTCTTCGAGGCTACGAGTGCGTACGTGCATGGGTTCGCGCATTCGTGCGTACGTACGTGCGTACGTGCGTGCGTGCGTGCGTGCGTGCGTGCGTGCGTCAGTCCGCTCTGCGTCGTTTCACATCGTCGTCTTTCTCACCCCGTCAACGAGCATCTCGCGATAGAGTTTATTTTTCACCACCCGTCGACTCGCTCTTTTCACAGTCCAACGCGATACACTCCTCCTTTTTGCTATTTACGTCGGTAATTATTTGTCGTCGAGTCAGCGAGGCCGATTACCGAGTGCTCGTTATCTGGAGCATCGAGAATGAGCCGAGAACCCGTACCCGGACCACTCGGGGGCCACGGTTTGCGAGGGCTAATTACTCGTCTCGTGTTTTGTTCAATTTGGATGCCCCCTGCTTGTCGGGGACCACGCGATTCTTCGTCGAACGCGCGCAAACCGCGTACACCGCTTCGCGATCCAGCATTCTCCTCGAGACGAGAAGCTGACTCGACTCTGTTCCACGGAAAATTATACCTACGCGTTGAACGGTCCGGACACGTTGGAATGGCTCGGTGAATGGTCGGAACGCGAGCGAAGCGTTCGGTTTCGGGCAAGAAAGAGGCCCGTAAAGTAGGAGGGTAGAGGTAAGAAGGACGTCTTTGAAGGAGTAACCACAAATCCTAGTATAATACTAATAGGCCCATAATAGAGTCAATAGGGCTTAGCCGCGGGACGACAATGAGATCCTGTCAAAATACGGTCGGGTAACACGAGACCTAGGAAGTGGATTTTTCTCAATGGAGGCCCCTGTCTTGTCACCAGTGGCGCGCGGGCCGTGCCACCGTATTGTCGAGTTTTCGAAAAATCCGAAACCTACCAGCCGTGTACGCACGATTGGGGTTTAAGTTTCATCGTGAGCCGAGGGACGCGTTGGATTTCCGTGAAAGGTACGGTAGGAACGCTACGAAAAGCGGGATAATGCCGGAATATAATGCTCGGTGACACGCGTCCTTCGTTCCACGGCTTCGAGTGAGCAGCGCTCGGATCGCGATTCCGCGACACCCCAAAATGTATCCCTTTGCTCTCTTTACTCCGGCGGTTCCGTGACGACGCGGAGGACCACGGGGATACGCTTGCCACGCGTGGAACGCGTCAAAGATTTTCCATTGTTCACGCCTAACCGTGTTCGCTCGAACGAGTATTAATCACCGTTGGAGTATCAACGAATCCCTGCTCCACATTTGCCATGGTCTCCTCCTCGACTCTAAGGCTTGTTAAGTGCTCCGACGGTGGAGCATACTTTTCTGGGTTAATTTATCAAACAAACGCGCAAACTCGGCACAAGCTCGGCATCCCCATTTTAAGACGGCGGCTCGTTAAAGTCGTTTGAGGGTGGAGTTCCGCCGCCCCCGTGGCCGCCAGCCGCCACGCAACTACAACTACAGCGTCGCGGCGAGTCTCGGCGTCGAGGTGCCCGTGTACACTCTCGCGACGCCGTGTTCCTGAAACGCGAACTTTGCGTTCGTGTCCCGGCCCCTCTCTGCCCCACGGCCCTCGCCGCTCCGCTCTTTATCGCTCCGTCGACTGGAGGCAACGAGCCCTAACCTTCTTAGGAACGCGGGAATCTTTTTCAACCCCTGTTTTTCAGACCCCGCGAGCCGTCCGTGCCAACGGGAACGACTTTATTAGAAAATGGCCGTGGCGAAACGTCTTAATACGTGGTCTTATTTTCGTTCCAGGGGCCGCCGCCGCACGGCCTCTGAAAAGGAGTCGCGAGTATCCGGCCACCACCGGCGCACCGGTGAACTCGTGCTTCCGGCACACGAGCGACCTTTTAGAAAATGGAAAAACGCGCGAGCGCAGTCGTCGGCAGCGAGTGTCGACAAAGTGAATCTGAATCCCGTGCGCGATTAACGGGCGGATTTGTTCCGTCGCGCGTTGGGTAATTAAATCCGCAGGTACGCCGGAACTAACGAGTGAAATCTCACGAACGAGCAACGAGCGAGCAACGAACGAGCCTACCCGCGGACGGGAAGGCCTGCACCTGGCGAGGATCGCGCGGTTTTCAAAATTGCCTTTAATTACGAATATCGCTGTTGTCGCCCCGACGCGACAGCCCGGCTGCTTGTCACGCGTTAAACGGAAAATTATGGAAACGCAATAATTAAGATCGCGCGCGTTTCCCCGTGGCATTATTATGCCGCGTGTTCGCCACTCTCGACCGAGGTCTGCGCGTCGAATCGCGTTTTCAGGTTTCCTCCTTTCGATCTCGTTCGATGACGATCGAAATTCGAATCGAGTTCGTCGATCGATCCAGTTCGCGGAGGTTCGATTTAAATTTAAAAATGCGATACGAAAAATTATCGGTTATTTCGATAATCATTCCAACGAGGTGACCCGGGGTGCCGCGCGAAAAACACCGCTTTATTTCTTTTTCACGAGATTTTAATTAATTAAATTACAGTTAATTCTGGTCGAATCATTAAGGGTAACGCATTCGAGTCGGCTCGTATATACGTGTATATATATATATATATGCGCACGTGTCTCCCTCTCTGGATCCCAAAGGCCATTGAGATCGGATGAAAAATGTCTTACTAGGCGTTAATGAAATAATTGTCGAGTTAATTTCGCGAAGTCGTTAATCAGGGTCGAGCGGCGAGGTAGCGGAGCGCCGCTGTATGCCACCCTTACGAAATGCGCTTCACGGAATTCTAGTTAATTTTTCAATGAAATTTCATTTCTCGAATACGCTTTACCCGTCCTTTCTCTCTTCTTTTTTCCCTCTCCTCCGTTTTCGCATCCTTCGACGCCGATATTCGCGATGGGTTATTATCGCCGCGATAATATTTGCCGTCGTAATTCCACGGCTGACATATCCGTCGGTTAAACCTCTGGCGGAACGTTTTCAACGTTGCATGCCCTATATTCCCGTCCACCCGTTTCAACATTGCCTCGCACACCGATGGAGTAATGCCATTTTTGTTCCAGGTTTCTCTCAATCCAAGAGTTCGTTCTCGAACGCCAGTCCAGGTAAGACACTCTGCGAAATAGACGAATTAATCGCGCAGTAGCGAAGCAACGTATTGCTCGGACGATCCTCGAATCCACGAAATTTGTCGGTCTCGGTTGCACGAGTTGCAAACTCGCGGAAAGGGTAGACTCGATTCTGTCCATTCTTCGGGATGAAAAGCGTGAGATCGCTTTTTCGAATTTTACGAGGAGAATCCATAAAGAGGCGCAAACGACCGTGCAGAAGGTTATGGCGCTCTTCGCTCGAGTTGTTCGGCGCAGTCTACTCTATGCTCGACGCTGCTCCTAACCCGACTATGTCACACGCTCGAATCCGACGCAGACGCGAGCAACCACGTATGTACTTCCGTCGAGTACGTAGCAACTTCCAAGACGGTTTTACGCGCAATCGCGTGGAATCGGAAGAACTCGTCACCGCGATTCCTCTTCGCGAAGCGCCTCGGATATCTCGGGGTGGAACTTTCGAGATTAGGGACAAGGCGTCGACGACGGGACAATTTAGAGACACGGAGATTCGCGTTGGGACACGTAACGAGTATCTCGGTCGCGATGACAGGGCTACATCGCTCACTCGATGACGTCATATGGCGAAGGACGAGCGGAAAACTGATTACGTATTCATACCGGCGATGACTGCGATTTTTCCGAGCCATTAAGCCCCGCTCGCCTAACCCGCGAAGCGATGTGGTTCGAAACGAGAAACGACAGGTCGAAAATGATTTCCGTGGCTCACCTCCGCGTCTAATGGGGCTCGGTTCGAACTTCGCTGCACGTGCTTACTTATTCCGCGCTCGAAACGCTTTCGAAGCTCGAGAGAGGGGTGGCAGAGAGGTCCTCTGTCAGGTACCTACGAGCAATCGTGTATAATTTCGCCTGGTCCCGGAGTCTTCGCGACGACCCCGATATTAAATTTCTTGTCAAAATATTTCGAGAAATCGAGGGTGCCTGCCACACCCTCCCCTATTCGAGCGCTAATCGGTAACGGGATACTTTCTTTACCCGAAACTCGATTCCATCGGTACCACGCCCAACCGTTCCAATCGTAATCGTTGCTCTTTGAACCGTGGCCGCGATTCTTTCGATTCTTTGCGCGCGATCCGATCGATGCGTGAGGATACCGGTCAATTACAACGAGACTCTCCGCCTCGAACGTACCGACGCGAAGAGGCGAAGATCGCTCAGGGGTGAACGAAAGAAGGGAAGCGTCCCAATTACGGGGAAAGACTCGGAACTGCCTCGAAATAAACGATCAGGCGAATCCGTGTTGAAAGTGCGTCGTTAAGATGGCACCGTGGAAGATAGGGATTTTATTGGCCACCGTTTCCGTTGCGTCAGCAG